CCGGGTGGTTGAAAACATGGCTTTCATGGCTTATTTTTGTGTAGCTTTTTACACTGCTTTTTATCTGCAAATAATTAAGCAAAAACTAGACAAATTCCAATTAAAAATATTATGAATAAAAATAATGGATTTGTTTAATTAAAGCTTAAATATTTTAATATTATATAAATCAAAAGCAATATTTATGGTGCATTTTCATGCACTAATCACTCAATTTCGGGATCAAATTCTTCAAGTGTCTCTCCACTAGCACGTTGCATGCACTAGAGAAGAAAAACCTAAAAAATAAAAAACTAAAAACAGTGAATAAGAGTTCTCAAATTAACGGGTTAAATCACAATAAGTGTAAATTTTTAACTGAATCCCCGGCAACAGCGCTAAAAACTTGATGCGATAAAATTAACACTAGCAAGTGCACTAATCGTTCAAGTAATAAAGTGATAATAAAGATATCGTTCCCAATGAGGATTGATAAAATTCACAGATAAAGTGATTAAACCGACTATGTTATTTGAGATTACAAAATTAGACGTAACGTGAATCAAAACTAAATAAAGATTAAAAATCAGAAAAATATAAAGATGCAAGATTTAAGAGAGAAATCAATGAGAGAAAACGTTAGAGAGTTGATTTCACCTACACTGGTTCATCCACAAGTTCATAAGAATGAATCTCAATTGTTATCAATCATGAGATGGTAGAATTCCCTAATATTCAATTATCCATATTTCGGGTCTAATCAACTATCATATACATTTTTAACTTCAAATATCCTTAGTTCAGGTCTATTCTAGATTAATTCAATATGAGATGCATTAGATTTTGTGAAATCCTTTTTCGGTTAAATCTCCCTCTCGGTTACAACTTAAACTGACCACATGAATGTCCTAAGATCCTTATTCGGTTACTCCTCGTCCACTCATGGCATGTTCTATATTTTGCTTGAATATTATTCACATTCAAGATTCAATTCACAATTTAATATTTCATATCACATAACTTCTCTATCCGAAACATCACTATGATCAATTCCCAATTAATTAAATAAAAAGCCCTAAGAACAATAGAACACACTCAAAAAAAATAATAAATTGAAACTCATTTAAACTGAAACTCAGAAATTACAGGTTCGGATCCATCAATCTCTAACTAAAAGTATTAGACCATAACTAAATTAAATAAACCAAAGAGAATTCCAGAAGACATCACCATGTGAATCACGAAAGAAGAAAAGAATAAAGAAAGGTAAATCTCAATGGCCGAATGTCACAGATTGTTTATCCACCAAGCTTCTGTTGTTCCTTCTCAGATTTTCCTCTGGATCAATCTCCTCCCAAAAGCCCTGGCCGAATCTCCTTCCAAAAGCTTTGGGAGAATCCGTTTTTGCCTCCTTTCTCTCTGTGGAACTGCCAGCCAAAAATCTCCTTTTGACTGTTGCTCATTTTTTTCTTTTTAAACCCGATTCTGCCTTCCACAAAACTCTCTCTCTCTCAGCGGCTATCCTTCCACCCCCGGATCTTCCTCTACTTTTCATCTTCAAACTCTCGGTTAGATAGGGTTTTCTCCACAGAAGTCGTAACTCTTTATCCTCTCCAAATCAGCCCCCCTCATCCAACGTTTAATCTCAGGAAGAAAGCACAAAACCTTAATGGCCAAATTTAGCCTCCTCCGTTTGTGGGCATTTAATGGGCCGAAACTGGGCCTAATTAATTGTGGGCTTTTATATGTTAATTTACGGTAGATTATCAAGCTTGCATCCAACCTGCAGAATTAGATTTCAATTTGTTAATAAAATGTCTTAAAACTAACTAATATTAAACCTGCAAGAGTTTAATAAATTAGTATAAAACCAACTCATCAGCATCCTATTAAAAAATTAACAGAATGGGGCTGAATTGCTACTATTTAAAGAATTTGATAGGTGTTTTGTCAAAATTAAAAGAATAGAGATCAAACCGTCGTATTATAAATTTTTTTTAATTAGATGAAAAGAGGTTGAATTGTTACTGTTTAAAAAATTTAAGGGGTATTTTATTAAAATTAAAAGAATAAAAATTAAATTGTCACATTCTAAAATGTTTAAGGACTATTTGTACTAATTAGTCTTAAAATTTTTAAGGAAAAAAATAGATAATATCTGTTACTAAACAATTCTAATTGCAAAAAGAATTGGTCATCAAATCTGTAATCATTTTATTGCAAAAAGTTTCTGCGACCAAATAATTCACCTATCTAGCAGGTCATTAATAAACAAATATATGTTTATAAATTTTGCCGAAAGACAGCTGGCCGTGCAGAAGAATCCATCACATGTGAGCATATATGTCTAATCCAATGATATACAAACAAAAGTAGTGACACATTTGTTGCCTTTCATAATGTCTCAAAAACGATATAAACAATAACAAGTAACAGTAGAACTCTTTTTAAAATAAAAAAAAATAGTTGTAGGACGACATAAGCAAATTTCCGTGGCGAGTTGTAATTTGTATACACAGATACAGAGCAAGCGGGAGTGAAGCTTTAGACTTGAACACCGCCAGACAAACTCAAAACATGGAATCAATGGTTCTCTATCCAACACCGGCCATTGGCCACCTTATCGCCATGGTTGAGCTAGGAAAGCTAATTCTCACGTCAAAACCTTCACTCTCCATCCACATCCTCATCGCCACGCCTCCTTACAACGCCGATGACACCGCGGCATACATCGCCGGCGTCTCCACCACCACTCCTTCCATCACCTTTCACCACCTCCCACCAATCTCCCTCCCTCCTGAGCTTTCTACCGCTTCGCCCCACCACGAAACTCTAACCTTCGAAGTCATTAGACTCAACAAACCGATCGTTTCTCAAGCCTTACTCTCCATCTCTCAAAACAACACCATCCACGCCTTCATCATGGACCTCTTCTGCGGAAGCACGCTCACCGTCTCCGCCGACCTCAACATCCCTACTTACTTCTTTTACACTTCCGGCGCGGCTAGCTTATCTTCCTTCCTTTACCTTCCAACCCTTCACGAGACTATCCCAAAGAGCTTCAAAGACCTCAACAACACTCTTCTCCACTTCCCAGCAACCCCGCCAATTCCGTCCCTAGACATGCCAAAACCACTCCTTGATCGTCACGATAAGGCTTATCAGTACTTTCTTGAATCGTCTGCTAACCTCCCAAAATCAGATGGAATTCTTGTGAACACGTTCGAGTCACTGGAGCCTAGAGCACTCAAAGCCGTAAGGGAAGGATTGTGCGTACCACATGCGCCCACGCCCCCGATATACTGCATCGGACCGTTGATTACGACCAAAGAGCAAGAAGGATCTAATTCTGAGTGCTTAAAATGGTTGGACTTACAACCAAGACATAGCGTGGTTTTTCTCTGTTTTGGCAGCTTAGGCTTGTTCTCTAAAGAGCAACTGAAGGAAATAGCGGTGGGGTTGGAGAGGAGTGGCCAGAGGTTCTTGTGGGTGGTGCGAAATCCGCCTCCGCCGCAGCAGAAAAACCAAAGCGTGGCTATTTCTGAATCGCTGGAAATAGAGTTGGATTCGTTATTGCCACCAGGGTTCTTGGATCGGACGAAAGACAGGGGTCTGGTGGTGAAGAACTGGGCCCCACAAGTGGAGGTACTGAGTCACGACTCGGTGGGCGGCTTCGTGACTCACTGCGGGTGGAACTCTGTCCTGGAATCGATCTGTGCAGGTGTGCCGATGGTGGCGTGGCCGCTCTACGCGGAGCAGAGGTTCAACAGGGTTGTGCTTGTTGAGGAAATCCAGATCGCTTTGCCCATGAATGAGTCCGATGACGGGTTTGTGAGCGCCAGTGAAGTTGAGAAGCGGGTCACTGAGTTGATGGCAAGCTCCGAAAGCGGCGGCTCGTTGTGGAAGCCTGCGTTAGCGTTGAAGGACGAGGCCAGAGCTGCTCTGAGCGACGGTGGGTCGTCCAGAGTTGCGTTAACCAAACTCACGGAGTTGTGGGAGGGTCGTTGAGTTGGTAGACCAAACGCACGTGCACATTACACGACAAAATAGGAATTTCCACTTCAAATGCCGGTTCTCCTGGATTTATCTGTTTTGGGTTCATTAAAATTGACAGTTGAGGGTAGGAAAGGAAGAAATATGATTTGGTGAGAGATTGTCATTTAATTTCCTGCAGACGAAGATACATATATATTAAAAAGTTTCTCTCACTTTGATTTGATTTCCGTTGAGAAATTGCGGCTGATTTTATGTGACTCGATCTGATTTTTTTTTTTTTTCATTTGTAATTTAAATTGATTTGTATACTATTTAATACCTGTAAAATTGCAATATCTATTTATTTATATGCAGCTCCTTGGTAGTAAATTATTTCTTTCTCATTCATGGGTGTAGACACATTGTTAAACTTTTTTAAAATATTCTTTTTCTGATTTTTTTTTTAAGTTCCATTTCTGCCCTGTATTTGTTTTTGGTTTATTTTTTTTTTTCAATGGCTTCTAAATTATTAAAAAAAGGGAAAAGAAAAATAGGTAGGCAGTGTTCTCTTCATATTTGTTTGTCCTACAAAAGCGTTTTTCTTAATTCATACGGCCTGCGACTTCATTTTCTATACGTAGTCGTTTTCCCATATGACTTTTGTTCAATCGAAGTCCCACCTAACCTATATTTCCCTTCCACATACGGAGATAACTAACTTCTCTGACCAATAATTTATAATTATAATTGCCTTCGAATCAAATACATCCACATATATATATATATATATAGACACACATACACACATAATTACCTTTCGATGGCATGAGTTAGAATAAGATAAAAAGTGCCAGCCTTGAAAAGTAACAAAATAGCTAGATAATGACCTTTTTTTTTTTTGTCCTAATTATGAAATAGAAATTTTAGACGTACGTTCCCCAACTCTCTCTTATCATCTCTTGACTTTTCCCCTCCTTTAGGGTTTTGTCTCTTTCTTTGAGCGCTGCATCTTTTTCATTTGGGACTGGATTCCTGGCCTTAGTAGGTGGGTTTTGGGCGTTAGGAGGATCGGATGAAGATGGGTTTTGAGGGTGAATTTGTGTTCTTTTTGGTGTTGAGTCTTTGTGCAGTTAGAAGGGATGGAGGTCGTGCTTTCAGCTGCCATTTGAGGGATCGTCAGAATCCAGTTGGGCCAGCATCTTGGAGGCTCTTGTCCTCTCGACATAGTGGTGCCTCTAGTGAGGCACGTGGTTCGGTGAGTCTCGGCATTGTTTGATCCCCTATTGCTCGTGATTTGGAAGTTTGTCTATAGCTTTTCTCTTTTCTGACAGTGCGGCTGTATCTTCTCCTCTTGGATTCAGAAGCTATCTTACCATTGGAATCCTCTTCCGTGCGGTTGAAGACCTTTTTAGTTAGTTTTTATTTTGTTCAAATAAGGGCGATGTTGCTTTCGTCATTTCTATGTATTTGTTTGCTTTTAGAGTGTTTGTCGTCTTGTTATGAAATAACGAAGGTGGTCTCCCCACTCTTCGGTTTGGGTTGTTTGTCTAGTCCGCTAGATTTGTTTCTATGCAGTGTTGTTGGTGGCCTTAGGGCTTCAGGTTTCTTGATCTCGGTCGATCGAGTTTTTCCTCGACTATAGTGGTCTTATTGAAAGAGCTTTACTTATGCTCGATATTTAGTGTGCCTATTGAGTTTTTCAGTGTCAGAACTCGGTGCACGTTTATGCTCCTTGAGTGTTTTATTTGAATTTACTAGTGGGTCCGGTTAATGTTTGGGGTCAAGACTCATGTTATGTAGAAAAATGTGCACTTACATGTTGGATGGCAATAGCGCTCCACGTGGCCCTGTATTTGCCACGTCAGATAGCAGTCGATGTCTGGATCTTGTTTTCCTTCTGGATGTTGGAAAGGCCGAGTGTATGACGAATCCTTAGACCGCTGACTGTTCGAAACCGTCGAGGCCTGTATAACTTGCACATTGGAAGCGCCACAAATAGAGTCAGCCGAACGAGGCTACGCCTTGTTTAATAGTATAGGCATCGAGGGCAGAATACGGGTTACGGAGTGCCTCAAAAAAGATCCCTGACACAAGCAGGTTGCGTCTGGGTTCAAAAGATGTCAGAAGCCCAGGGGTTAATTATGAGCCCCTAAAACTGCCTGAAATGGACGGTTGAGGATTACAGGATCGGCAGAGCCGTAATAGGGGACAAATTGAATGAGTGAATAGTATAAAAGGTATTGACAGGCTATGATATGGGCCCATAGGGTAGTAGGCCACTCAAGTGGATAGGCCTACAAAGAAGAACCTCCCAAGAAGTAATCTTTGGGTTATAAAAGGGGCAAAGCCCCAAAGGATCAGGGGGACCTTTCCGATGTAATCGAGGTAGCAAAAGATATATGCAATACACAGTGGATGTAGCTCTTCATTAACAGAGTGAACCACTACAAAACTTGTGTGTCTTTTGCATTCATTCAAGCACCACTTCCACACTTCTTAAATTACCACACTACAAAAAGCACTTTAAGAGTATTACCCTAAATTTATAACGATTTCAGGCCGGTAACCCAACAGGGTACCAAGATGTAACTCGGCATAATTCTGTTGGTGAAATTCAACCGTCAACAACTGGCGACTCCACTAGGGACCGAACCCAGAATCTCTGGTTCTAGTGTTTGACCCCAGACTACTAAAAAGTAATCAACGATCATGCCTCCTAGAAGAAGTGACGTTGCAAATCAAAACAGCCAAACAGAGGAAGATACCACGCATCCAACGAACAGTGGGAGTAGGAGAGATCAGCCCAACCAAGGGAATCAACCCCCGGCAAGGCATGAAGCTCCACCCCCAGACATGCTACAGCTTGACCCAGTGCAAATACAGGCCCAGCTGAACACTCTGATCAACTTGGTTCAAAGACTAATGTCCGTCGTTGAGCGGTTAGACGGGAGAAACTCAATGCCTCATTTGGAAGATGCCCCGGGACCACCAGGAGCTGCCATGGCTGGGGCCAGAATGCTGGTAACTATCAAGGTGCTCCAGAAGGGATTGGGAATAAGAAAAATGCCAGGGGAGATAACCTGAGACCTCGATCGTCCAAGTCCCTCGGTAGCCGACAAAGGGCTGCCAGGCGATGAGCCCAGGGGAGGAGAGCACACGGAGGCTTGGATAACCTTGAAGCACCACCTCGAAACATGGGAAAGAATATCCCAGGAGATTCGGGGTCGGTACAAGAAGGTGGAGACCTAAGGGATAAGCTGAATAAAAAGAAGGCGAGAGCCTCGAAAGGGGCCAACTCTGCAATCTCAACGGAGGAGACAAGATGTTGGTCGCCGAATCGAATCCGGCTGCGGAAGCGTGGTGGTGCGGGGAAGAGGTGGATCGTGTATAACAAAAATTTTCATAAAACTTTTGAGATACTCTATAGATTATATTAATTTATACACGAATAAATTAATCTCATTAACTTATATATATCAAGAACTCAATCAGGAAAAAATACCTGGAAGCCGACTCGGATGATAACTGGAGTTCTTTGACCATGAACAGTCCTTGCTCCAATCTTTGTGTTTAGAAAACCAATGTCTTCCACGTCAATTCCTAGAATCCACGAAGACGTGTGTGTGGGCACACATGAGACAAAACGGGTTGCAATAAACACTCGAATTTCTACAAACACCAACGCATGCACGATGTGGAATTTTTAGAGAAAAAAATTTTTCCTTCCTCTCTCTCTTGAGAATTTCGGCCAGCCTTAACTCTTAGGGCTGAAAAATTGTTTCCAAAATTTCTATAGAGAAATTTCGGCTACCTCTAAAATTAGGGCAAAAAACCATTCCAAAAATTGTCTCAAAAATAGTATTTATAAAGTAGAAGTCAAACTTCTAGAAGGAATCCAATCTCTATCTCTAAGATAAAGCTTGTTAATTATCTCCTATTTGAATTTTAAACCAAATCTCCTCTTTTCCTCTATCCTATATGGCCGGCCATTCTAAGGGGATTCTCACCCCTGTGTGGCACCAATATCAGATAGGGAAGGAAGAGAAAATCATCATTTATCCTGTAGTCCAATTTTGACTCAAATTCAAATTCCAATTTAAGTCAAACTTAAATTAATTTGAATTCTAAATTGAACAACTTATCAAATAAGTTTAAA